CGCCAGTAAGTCTCGAGATATGTTTTTTCAAAGTTGACAAAAGTTCAAAGAAAGTTCAAAGAACTTGCATTAATTTTACATGGCTTTCCAAACATGCGGTTCTCGAGTGCAACGGTGATAGATGCGCGAAATATGCGTTCTGTGTGAATGGCTTGGTTTCAGTTTTGATGTAAACAAGATCTTCTCCACATTGATGTTCTCTTTTCCTGCAATATTTGTAGATAACAACTGGAGAGGCTAACAAAAGCATTATAATGCAATGACACTTACATCTTCGTCGCATCTCGTGCACCACTGATAAGGCTGCCTCCTTAATGCACAGCTAAAATTCGAATGCTTTTATGACTTCATATGAATCCAGACTACGTGATATTTGATTTGTGATTGTGTTGTAACCGGTCTGTCAGACACAGGAAGTGATGTCACCCACCGTCTCTGAGATGAACCTGTTCGGTCTGAACAGAAGCGTGAGTCCCGTTAACAGTCCGGCTCTGAACCAGCGCACACGAGTCCCTGGATACGACAGTCTGACCCGCAGACGAGACGTGAGTCTAGGCTGCCTCATTAACGCACAGCTAAAATTCGAATGCAACGTTTTTGCATTCGAATGTGGATTTTTATTTTAAATTCGACGAATATTCCAAATATGATTTTTTTTGACAGCCCTAATTAATAACATCACAAATGTTGTTAGTTGAAATAAAATAAGTTAACTGAAATACAAAAACTTAAACGTGTTTTATTTCACTTCAACTAGAGCTAAAACTGAAATAAAAATAGACATACTTTAAGAAAACAATAGACGTACTTTAAAAAAAACGAACAAAAATTACAAACACGCAACAAAATAAATAAAACTAACTAAAGAAAAAATGAAAACAGAAAATATAAAAATAAAAGCTATGAAAATAAGAAAATTCTAATATTAATAAAAACTATAATAATATCTCAATGAAACTAGAATAACAGGAACTAATGGCTTACGTGTTTCAAAAAATAATTTAAATTTAAAAAATCCTTTTTGCATTTAATAAAATTAATTATTTTTTAAAATGTTAATTTTATAAGTAGTTAAATATTTAATTTAATATTTTTTATAATAATTATTATAAAATCTTATATTATTATATTATATTATACATTTTTTAACATCGAGATGGAGAAGGAGAGGAACCAGATCCGCTTCGAGATGCGAGGTCTGCTGGTGAACAATGAAGATCTGCTGCGGACGAACACACAGATGCAGGGCGAGACGAACCGGCTGCGGGAGAAGATCGTGGAGTTAGAGAGCAACAACAATGTCCTGCAGGAGCGCTTCAGACAGATGGAGGTACAAACACCACATACAACACCCTAAACACACGCCGTCAGCAGAGCCGTGATCCTCATCATCAACACGCCTGTGTCTGTGTGTGTCTGTCTGTGTGTGTCTGTGTGTCTGTGTCTGTGTCTGTGTCTGTGTAGGCGCGGGAGGTGATGGTCGAAGCAAACACTCAGGAATACGCCTTTAACTTCCTGCAGCAGACGCTCAAGAACAAAATACAGGACACTGAGGTGCAGCATCACAAATAAACAGGCTGCTTGACACTTTCAAAGACCAAAATTGCCATTTCTTTTATTATTTTATATTTTTTATTATTTTGTTCATTTTATTTTATTTATTTTGTTTATTATTTTATTATATCATATTATTTTTTTTATTATTACTTATTTATTTTATAATTAGAATATTTTATATTTATTATTTTATTTTCTACGTTTACATTTTTAATGTCCTTTAATAAGCAAAATGTAAAATTAAGGGTAATAATAATCATGAAACAAATGGCCATTTGTTTTATTATTTATTTTATTATTATATCTTTTTTAATATTTTATATCATTTTTATTCTGTTGTTGTGCTTTAGTAATGCACTGCAATTTTTAAAATTAATTTGATATATCATATATCATTGTTATATATTATAATATTATAATATATAATAAATATAAAATATTATAATGCCAATAAGCCCCACAAAATGCTACATGATTTTGAAAAATCTATCAGTAATCAATCATTCAGTCATTTAATAAAATGTAAAATTATGAAACAAATGGCCATTTGTTTTTTAGATTTATGATTATTATGATTATTTTATGCAAAATGCTAAATTAGGGGCAATAATATCATGAAACAAATTAGAATTTGATTTATTATTTATTTTATATTATTATTATTGATGTATTATTTTTATTATTTTTTCTTGCACTTCAGTAATTCACAGCACATTTTGTCATGCAAATAACCCCATAAAATGCTACATGCTTTTCAGAAACTCATAGCATTTAATAAGCAAAAATGTAAAACTAGGGCTAATAATAATATCATTTAAACAAGCAACATTTTACATCAGGAAACTGGTTATTGACAGCTGCTCATCTGGGCTTTATTCACTTTGTGAAAGTAAATGTACATGACTGTTGTTGGTTTTCTCAAACTGTGCAGTCGGTCTGATCTTCTGTGTGTTTTCTTCAGGAAGCTCTGGAGAAACAAGCTCAACACGCTCAGACTGTGTCAGAAAAACTGTGGCTCACCGAGAGAAACCTGGAGGAGCTGGAGCTGGAGAAAGAAACTAAAGCAAAGAAAACTCTAGAACTCAGTAGCACTGTTTTCAGACTGGAGACAGAGGTACACACACACACAGACACTCACACAGACACTCACACAGACACACACACAGAGTTACACACACACACACACACTCAGGCACACAACACACACACACACACTCAGACACACAACACACACACCACACACTCATACAACACACAACACACACACACACACACTCAGACACACAGACACACACACACGAAAGACCAGGAGCTGCTGCGCCTCACACAGATCGTCAGCAGACTGCAGGGAGAGGTCCGATTAATGCACATTCATATCTGCAGGAAATTAAATTCATCATCAAAGACACATTAAATTGTTAAAAAGTGACAGTAGAGACATTTATAATGTTACAAAAGACACACTCACACTCACACTCACACTCACACTCACACACACACACAGACACAGAAACACACACTCTCACACACACACACACTCAGACACACACACACTCACACACACGTTTGGCTTGTAGGTGTTTTAAACATAATTTAATACTAATAATTTAATATTAAAAAGTTTATTGCATTAAAATGATGAATGATTTTTAAAATGTTAAACAATATGTTATTAAATCTTTAAAAAAAAATATTTTAAATTAATATTGTTATTTGTATTATATAAAAAATTATAAATATATATATATATATATATATATATATATATATATATTAGTACAGTTTCAGATATTTATAAAACTG